TACGAAGCCACCGTAGACGCCTCGTCGTCGACGGAAACGTCTCCTTCCACTGAAAGCACATCGCCGGAAATCCTGAAATAAATTCAAGAATAATGCGAGAGCTCCTTGTGGCGTCTCGCCCAATTATTTTTTGGATATAAAACGAGTTTCTTGATGTTGGATCGCACGCACACATATTGGCGCACGTGAAGCCGCCATGTCATCCCAGGTCCCTCGTTCGCGTCAAAGGCAAACTCACCCGAACGATTTTCTCGTTCACACTAGGTTCACCCACGCATACTTTATCCCTTCCCACGATTCTCAGCCACTCCCCTCAGCTGGCCTCACCCACTTCCCCTAATTCTCGCCCCACCCCATCCTTCCCTAGCGGCGTTGGTCAGGCAAAGTGCAGCGGCGAAGGCCTTCCGGAGATTGGAGCGGCGGCGGGAGTCATGCGAGTGAGGTGGCGTCGCGGCGAGGATGCAGCAGGGTCGCGGTCGTGCGAGGGGTTGCAGTGGCGAAGGCCTTCCGGCGATTGGAGCGGCAGCAGGCAGCGTGCGAGTGCGGCGGCGAGGATGCGGGAGGGTTGCGGTCATGCGAGGGCGAGTAAATTGCTCAAAGCCACCACATTTGTGGCGAGGGTACTCCAAAACTACCGTTTTAGCCGAAAATCACAAAAAGCCACCAACTCTGCAGCAAGTGAGTAACATATTGCACTAAACGAGTTGTGAGTCGCGACTAATCGAAAACTGACAGCGCTGGCCCACCTGTCGGGTCTACGTGGACAAATCTACATGAACAATACGCTGACGTGGACAAGGGCCCCACATGTCAGTCCCTCGCCTTATTTTTCTCTCTCTCATTTTCCTCTGGTTCTTCTCTCTCTTAAACTTTCCTCTCTCTGTCCCGTTTGCACGACCCAATGCCATGGAGCTTTGCCGTTGCCGGCGCACCGCCGGACTCCAGATCCGACCGGAATTGGTCTCCCGCCTCCAGATCTGACCTCTGCCGCTGTTTCCCGTCCGAAACGGGGCCCAACCACCGCCGCCGATTGGACTAAAACCCCAGTGTTGCAGCCTGCAGGGACCCTGCATCGTCGCCGTCGTCGATTCACTGTTGGTCGGCCGCGACGGGAGCATCTGGCATCGAGGAGCCACTCCACCCGGGCTCGTGGCTGGCCACGACCGCGTCCGCCGCCGCCTTGTCAGAGCGGAATGGGGCGCGGGCACACGCCAGCTCGGCCTCACCGGAGCAGGCAGGGGGGCGGGCGCGCTGCGAGCAGCAGGCAGGGGGGCGGGAGCGTGCGCGACGAGGAGCAGGCAGGGGACGGGCATGCGGTGCTCAGCCTCGCCGGAGCAGGCAGGGGGCAGGCGCGCGGCGAGGAGCAGGCTGGGGGCGGGAGCACGTGACGAGGAGCAGGCAGGGGACGGGCGCGTGGCGAGGAAAAGGCAGGGGGCGGGAGCACACGCGACGAGGAGCAGGTAGGGGGGCGGGCATGCGGGAGCTCGGCCTTGCCGGAGCAGGCTCGCCGGAGCAGGAAGGAAGGACATGAGAGAAAGAGGGGAGATAAGAGGTGTGGCAGACAAGTGGGACCCATGTCCACCTCAGCAGGTCAAACATTGACTAGGACTAATCTTTGCCACATCAGCCCAGACATGCGGATCCCACCTGTCAGTTTTGCTATTAACACGTCTCAGTTTCGAATTAGTGAGATTTGTTACTCACTTGCCACAAAAGTGATGGTTTTTTGTGATTTTTCGTAAAAGTGGTGGTTTTGCAGTACCCTAGCCACAAATGTGGTGGCTTTCAGCAATTTACTCTGCGAGGGCGACGTTCGGCAGGGACCATGCTGCGGTCTTGCGGGACAACGACGGACGATAGAGGTTGTTCCGGCGATTGGAGCAGCGACAGGTGGCTGCGTGCGAGTGAGGCGATGAGGATGCACGGTCGCTGAGGGGGAGCCCGCGGCTATGGAGGACGTCGAGCGGCGGTGGTAGCCGCTCCCGCTTCTGCTCTTGTCGCCGCCACACTATGCCGAGTAGGAGGCGTCATTGAGTTCCAGCAGTCGTCGTGGGGGTGAAACAAGGGGACCTGAGCCGGCTCAGGAAGCATGTGCGGCGCCGTCAACTGGATGTCGTTTAGAAGCTGTTGAGATTTTTCTTCTCGGTTCCTCTTTCGGCAGAAAATGAAGTGTACAGTGTATTTTTTGCAGCAATGGCAATTTATGTAGTGTTTTTGCCATGAAATTGCAGTCGGCGGTGTGTGCAATTTTTTGCAGCCATGGCAATTTTTATTGTGAAATTTGCCATGAACTTTTTAGTGGCTAGTACATGTGGGCTGTTACATCACATGAAACATGAAATTTGTTAAAATGTTTTGTACTATATTTTAGGTCCATGGCAATTTCAAGGGGAAAACTGATCTATATCATGGCCATTTTGCCATGTAGCATGGTTGCATCATTTTCTTTGCACCCCTGGCCATTTTTTTTTTGCAAAAAACTTTTAATCTATTCATCTTCAATCATGGCAGTATAACGAACTCCAGAAATAAAAATTACATCCAGATCCGTAGACCACCTAGCGACGACTACAAGCACTGAAGCGAGCCGAAGGCGCGCCGCCGTCATCACCCCTCCATCGCCGGAGTCGGGCACAACTTGTAGTAGACAGTCGGGAAGTCCTCGTGCTAAGGCCCCATAGGACCAGCGCACCAGAACAGCAACCGCCGTCGAAGAAGAATAACGCAGATTGGAAGGATTCAACCCAAAGACACACGAACATAGACGAACAACGACGAGATCCGAGCAAATCCACCAAAGATAGATCCGCCGGAGACACACCTCCACACGCCCACCAACGATGCTAGATGCACCGCCGGAACGGGGGCTAGGCGGGGAGACTTTTATTCCATCTTCAGGGAGCCGCCACCGTCTCGCCTTCCTGAGCATGACACAAACCCTAACAAGACAGGAAAAAACGACTGAAAACGGAGCCCTTCCGCCGGCCCTTGGCAGGATCCACCGCGCCCCCATGGCCCTAGGGCCACCGGAGACGAGACGGACCTGCGGCGGCGCCGGCGAGAGGCAGAAACCCTAGCCCTGGCCATTTTTTGTAGTGGAATTAGCATAAACATTCAGTGTTTAGTGCATGTAGGCTCTCACAGCACATGAAATTTGTTGAAATGTTTCGTATTTTTAGGTACATGGCAATTTTTAAGGCGAACACAGATCTATATCATGGCCAGTTTGCCATGTAGCCTGGCAACATCATTTTTATATTCGGGGGGAGGGGAGGGGGGGTTAATTTCTGGAACATGGTCTCAGGATCATGACATATTTGTCTCCGGTATGCCATTTGTTAGAGTACACTCATGCCAACTTATATTACAAACCAGAACCCTTTTTTTCTCCAACTTTGATGGCAAATCTAAACAAACAAGTGTGTTGCCATGATGTGTTTTTCAACATAATGGCAAGTAGTATCTTTGCATCATTACATTTTTGAATGTACACATTTCTGTCATGATATGTTTTGGCATAGATGTGGATGTGTGTGTGTGTGTGCGCGCGCGTGTGTGCGTGCGCGTGTTGCCTTGACTATTTTTCCAGGTGTTGTTCTCTTGTTTGTACCTACGTATTTATCACATGTCAATTTCAAGTTTGCCTTTTTCGTTAGTTACAAACCATCCACATGGCAATTTTTGTTTCCTATACAAAAATTTCATGGTAATATATAAGTTTGACGGCAATTTTAGGAAAGAAAGTTCAATGCACATGGCAATTTCTTAATTTTTAGTACTGGCCATGAAAAAATTCGGTACATGACCATGGCAAAAATATGGATCATGACAAATTTAATAATTGACCATGGCAATGTTAGTATAACGGATCATGGCAAATTTAGTAATTGGCCATGGCAACTATTTATACTCTTCAACAAGGCACAATTATCTATTTTTTATGGGATAATGGCAAATCTAGTTCACAGCCATGGCAAATTTATCTTATGCATCATTTTTTTAGTGCATGGACCATGTCAATTTTTTATGGTGTGTTTTTCCATGAAAAACTAACAATAAAACATGGCAATATTGCCATCCTTCGGCTAGTTTGTCACCATTTTCCTTCAAATGTATGTATTTTTTCATTTCTCTAACGTGGCAAACTTACTATATGGACCATGGCAAAATTAATTTATGGATCAAGGCAAGTTTAATTCAAGTAACATTGCAAAATTCTTATTTGTCTTATCATTGACAAATTATTGTTTTTACATAAATGATCATTTTTTTTTTTGAAATGGCAAGTTTTACTCAAGTCCCATGTCTAAATTTGCCATACTTTTAGACATCTTCAAAATTTCCATGCCAAACAATCACTACAACATAGCAAACTTTCCATTCTTCAAATAGTTTGCCACCATTTTCTTCAAATGTATATTTTCTTAGTTTCTCTAACATGGCAAAATCAGTTTATGATCATAGCAAGTTTATTTCAAGTACCATGGTAAATTTAATTCAAATACCATGGAAATTTTGTTTTCTATTGATTTGACAGTGGATCTGAAATTTATTGCCCAGCTCTGTTTGTGGTAGCCTGGTATAGTAAATAAAGGGTTATTTAGCAAGAATATTCGAAATTGTGTTGTTTTTCTGTCTGACGCTCTAAGTGGAATTTGCCTGCTTGGGTCCATGAGTATCCACGCATCTCCTGCCTTTGCTTTGCTCTGCCGTGAGCCAAATTTTGATGTACTTTAGTCTTGCCTTACATTCATTTCTTTTTTTTTTCTGATATAGATCGAGCAGGTTCATGAAGATCTTCCAGTTTGAAACTGGCAAGAGAAGAACCGATTTAGCATTTCTTAACAAAAAAAAAGTGCAAGTAGACATTCGAACAAACCATCGAGTGAAAAGGAGAAAATAATGACAAAGAAAAGGGCACAAGAGGCTACAATTAACCCAAAATGGAAAAAAAAACCACCAAAAAAGAAACAACGGGACTAATGAGCATGCCCTCCCCCCTACTGCTGTCGTAGGTGGTCGAACGCTTGCACCAGCGTTGGCGCGAAGCGGGTGGTGTTGATGCGAGCGTTCTGCTTAAGATAGAGCTCAAACATATTCTCCCAGCCGCTGCGGTGGATGGAGTCGGGGTCCTTGATCGCCGGGTGCTCCGGCCCCAGCTTCTCCATCAGCGAGCTCTCCTCCGCGCTCATGCTGTAGTCAAGGTACTTGAGCCCCATGTCCGTCGCGCCCTCGCTGAACTCCGCCCTCGCGAGGTACTCCATCTTCCCGTACGGCACCACCTGGATCAGCGCGCCGCCCGGCGGCAGGTGCACCGCGTTCGTCAGCCCCGCGCCGTGCATGCCCAGCACCACGTCGAACGAGTTCACCAGCCGCGCCTGGTCCACCTCGGACCCGTTCACCCGCGGCTCCGACAGCGCCGCCTCAAACCCCGCCGCCTCCGCCGCTTGTAATATCTCCTCCTCGTTCAGGAACCGACGGAAGTCCCCCCGGTGGATCAGCAGCAGCCGCGGCTTCTTGCCCGGCTCCCGGGTCGGTGCTCCGCGTGGGAGCGCGTAGGTCTCGCGCACGAACCGGGTGAAGTCGGCCATGGTGAGGGGACCCCCCGGCACCAGCTCGGGGACGATGGTCAGCTCCTTGTCGAGGTGGAGCCCCACCGTGACGTGCGGGAAGCACCGCACATACGCGTCTCGGTCCATGTCCACGACCTCGTACTTGGACAGACCATGCAACAAGGCCTTGTACTTGACCAGCCACCGCGGCAGGTGCTGGATGTTGCTGACCAGGAACGTCACCTCGCCGTGGTACCGCCGCGACACGACGAACAGCGGCACCAGAATGTCGGTGTAGTCATGCCAGTAGTTGCCCACGTAGCCCCCGATACCGAACAGGACGGCGGGCATAGTGTGGGTCACCGTGCATGGCGGGGCGGCGGATCGGTCCTGCAGCTGCGTCACGGTGACCGACCTCAGGCTCTGGCCACCGCGTGCGTATGGTGAGATCATCCACTCCCGACGCTCCGACGATCTGCTCGCTGGGACGAGGGTCACCGACAGTGCTGTGCCATTGGTGCGGACGTCACCGTCGACTTCGCAGGTTTCGGACCAGTCACGCGAGCGGCCCTCCGTGTTACACACCACCTTGCCATTATCTGTCACGCGCCAGGAAAGGGGAAACAATTACCATTGTTTTTTTTTTGAAGTTAACTATTATATAGCATTGTTAAACGATGCAAATTGTTATCTTTTTTTTTACTGTGAAGAAACAATGCAAAATTGATATGCTTACAGCTCCCGTACAAATCGTTTAGTACTTCTACTCCTACTTCTGTGATGTGTGTTCATTTCTAGACTTACATGTGTGTGCATGCATCTAAGAGTAAATCGTTTAGTACTTCTACTCCTACTTCGGTGGTGTGTGTTCATTTCTAGACTTACATGTGTGTGCATGCATGTAAGAGTAAATCGTTTAGTACTTCCACTCCTACTTCTGTGGTGTGTGTGACAAACAAATTAGTTCACTCGGTAGGCACCTCAGTCCTGCGTAATTATAGCCATGATCAGGATCACATGATGTTAAATTTAGTATTCACTGTTTCCCATGCATTGCCCTGGGCAGGCAACCGTACATTGGTTTAATCAAAATATTCACTAGCTAGATCTGAGTTCTTCGAACTGACAAATTCATCAACTGCTACTAGTAAGATCTGTCAGAGTTTTACGCCTATGTCAACTCACGTATTTTTTGCCAGATCTGAGAGTCGGCCTAAATACACAGGAGTCGAAACAAATGATATGAGCATGCAAACTTGATCAAAGCAAAGGACAGGAGTGCTCTGTTCACCTGAACCTTGGATCAGCTGTATGTCCGGGGTCCGCTGCACGTCAGAAGCGACGACTGTAGATTAAGCAACAAGCAAGAGTTTGATCTTGAGCTTACAGAGACTGGAGACTGGAAATAAGCATAGTTTGTTGGCACAAAGCAAGACAGATAGGTCAAAAAATACTCACGTGTTTCACTTTCACGAGGAGCTTTAATCAGTTGCATTGCACCAGGATCTCTACTCAGCTGTTTAAGCGTGATCCATTGTGCTACTGCTGCCGTAGTGGCGACTGCATATGAAGCAACAAGAAACAAGTGTTTGCCTCTTGGTAAGCAGAAGATTCATGAAACGGTACGGTGGTGATCAATCGAGGTGAAATGAAAGGGATAAATCGTTACCGCTGAGGCCGCTGATGGCAGCCTCCTGCTGCAAGATGAAACAGACGATGAGCGCGAAGAGGACGCCGGCGGCGAAGCCGGCGTTGACACGGAACGGCGCACAGCTCATCGCCACTTTGCTTTCTCCTGTCTGCTGTGGTGAGTGAGTGAGTGAGCGAGCGAGGACGCGCGTGTTTAGTCGATCGGGGCGGGCGTGTGTGTGCTAGTTGAGTCAGCTGGTTGGCATTAGTAGTGTTGTGAACAGGTTGAATTGCTGGTGATTAGTTTTTGGGGTGTGTGCACGTCGCAGTATGAGTCAGTTTCGCAGGTTATCGAGGGTCTTCCACTCGTGAAACGTATTGTTTATCCCAGCGGGATCACCGACAACAGTTGAATTGGCCCAAATGCACCTGGCGCAAACAGTAATCACGTCGTGCGTTGGTCCTTCCTGTGTTTGTATTTAAACGGGCAGATAGTAAAGACAACAGCATCATATCGCAACTGATTAAACTACTTTTAAGTACAAGTCCATGTCAACGTGAAGATAGTAAAGGCCACACGTGAAGTCGCGGTGCATGATTCGTGGTCTGACCAAGCGCATACGTGCGGTGTACTAGCGTGAACGCGATTGATATCACTCACACCTACTCCCTCCGTTCTTTAAAAAGTGTACTTTCAACATTGTTGAGGGTCAAACAATTTTTAAGTTTGAACGAGTTTATGTGAAAATATATCAATGTTTGTGAAGTCAAATAGGTATACAACGAAAAAATATTTTTATCATGAATCTAATACTACTAATTTGACGGCATAAATGTTCGTGTATTATTATATAAATACGGTCAAAAGAAGAAAGATTAACTTCCCAACAAAATTGGAAACACACTCTTTTAAAAGGACGGATGGAGTATGGGAGTACGATGATGGGAAGGACATGGGAGATGAGTTATTACCTTGAGGGAAAAGTGCGGCTCTAGAAAGTGTCCATGGCAGAGATGGTGGCGGCGAGCGGCGCATCTATTAGGAGTAGGTATCGCGCTAAAAGGGGCCGAAACGGATATGGATGACATACACGCATGCTTCCGTGTGAAGTAAGATGGGCTCTCTACAGGGGCTGCCTTTTAGAGATGGTGGCGGCGAGCGGCGCATCTATTAGGAGTAGGTATCGTGTTTTATATTTTGAAAACACACATTAAGTTTTTCTAAATACATGTTGAACTTTTTTGAGCAGACATTAAATAGTTTTATATACCTGCAGACCATTTTTTTGAATACATGTTGAATATTTTTTCAATTCATGGCGAATAAAACACAATGCTAATTTTTTAAACACATGTTGAACATTGTTTTCTTATACATGGTGAATATTCCTTAAATACGTTTTACATTTTTTTAAATACACATCAAACTTTTTAAACACAAGATGGACTTATCATTAACACATGAGGAATGATGATTTTTTATAAATACATGGTGAGCATTTTTGTAATAGATGATACATTTTATATGATATACATATTTTTTTGAATACGTGAACATTTTTACAAAACATGATAAACATTTTTTAATCACACAATGGACCATTTCCAAACATCTGACGTATATTTTTCAATACACTTTTATAAATTATAGGAACGTACTTCTAGTATGTTCAGAATCTATTTTCATAGACATTTCATAAAATACTCCCTCCGTTCCAAAATAGATGACCCAACTTTATACTAACTTCAGTATAAAGTTGGGTCATCTATTTTGGAACGGAGGGAGTATAAATAAAATGCAAAAGAGAAAACATTATGTATAACATGGATGTGGGGTGCGTGGCGACTCGTGCGCACTCCGTCCGGCACTGAGCCTGGCCTATCTTGGGGAGTTGCTAACACGATCCAGGCTTCCATCTTTCTATAGGCGAGGTATAGCACTGCCCGACCAATACCGCCGATGATATGATCGGTTCGAAAGAAATATGCCACTAGTGCTACTGTTAGGCCGGGCCTTTATCAGAGGCAGCTAATTCACCCTAGTTTTGTGAAGATTTTAGACCCTTTCGCTCGGTCAGCGAAAGCTGCTAGAATGTTCCATCCGACTTTGAGATTGTTTTCATAAGATTGATTCTTTATTTTCTTTTCATTTTTATCAAGGTTTTTTGGTTCTGTTTATTATTTATTTCTAAGTTTCTTATTTCTTTTCTGATTATCAGTTTATTTTCCTTTTACACTTTTATATCTGTGAACAATTTTTCAATTGATGAATAGCCTTTTCAAATTCACCAATTTTTTTGCATTCTCGGACACTTTTTAATTCATGATTTTTTTTTATAAATTCATGATTAAAAAACATTACAAAATCCTAGATTTTTTTTGAATTTTCTACCATTTTTAAATTCTTGGAGATTTTTTCCAATTTCATTTAAAAATCATAACAATTTTCTCAAATTTGTGAATAAAATTTTAGTTGCAGTTTTTTATTGACACTAACATATTCTAAGCAGAAATGTTTATATTCATGAACATTTTTTCAAATATATCAATTTTTTAATTCATGAACAATTATTATGTATTAAAAGTGTTTGAAGGGCTAACCATAAAGAAAAGACAATAAAATAAAAAATATCACAAATGCCGAAAACTATTAACCTTTAATTTTGTACATTAAAAAAATCGGAATGGTCAGATCAATTTTAAAGCTGGAAAAATTACCCGCCCTTCACACACAACCGTCCATGTCGGTGTACTCGCCTTCGTGCCCTAGGTTGGTCGACTCTTCTCCCTTATTTCATGGGCGACAACACCAAACAGTGATGCCTCAAAAACGGACGATGCCAATGCCTTGTTTTTATGCTTCTTAGGACGGGGGAGGCAGTGAAATCACCAGTCTTTGATCTTTTCTCATGTACGTAGGCACATTTTTTTCGACAAAGGGCGTTATTTATTGAGTGATAATGAAGCATCAGGTGATACAAACACAGTGAGAAATAAATCCGGCCCTTGCA